TATATATATATATATATATAAAAGAATAATATTTTATGTTGTTTGGGTATGGAGTGGAAGTTAGAATTGTGATAACTCTAAGTTTAAGTTATAGAAGATATAACTTAAGTGTGTGAGAGTTGGTTCAACGAGGGTTAGGGTATATAAGGCGGATTCTGATAATTGAATTTCATAAGTTTATAACTCTAAAATTTTAGAGAAGTTAAAAGGAAATGCTATGAAACCAACAAAGTTCAATCTTTAATCCAATTCCACTAGAAGATCTCTTTTCTTCCCCTAATTGTTAGTTGGTGTCGTAGAAACTGACATTCAAGCTAGGGAGTTGGGAACCTTAGAGAGAAGTTGTCATATAGCGATAGCTATAGAAGTATAGTTCTTCGTCGTTCTTCCTTCTCTTTCTCATTTTTGAGTGATTTAAAGTAAGATAAGCTTGTTGTTTGATTCTTTGAAGTTGTTTCATGTTGAATTTGTTGTTGATTTGCCGTTGGTGGCTTAATTTGTTGTTTTGTGGTGGTTGAAGTTGTGAAATTAGGGTTTTTGGGGTAGATGAAACCAAGGGCCAAAGCTTTTGACCTCTCTTGTTGAATGGATGCATGTTGAATTTTGAATTGATTTTCATGTTGCATATGTTGATTAGAATCACTTTGATGAAGTGCATGTGGGTTTGATGACTTTGATTTGAATTTGGGGTTTATAGATGAGTTTGGGATGATCTTGAACTCATTTGGAAATGTTGTTAAGAGGTATCTGCTCATAACCTCATGTTTGGGAATTGTCACAAGCATGACTTGATGGTCATAATTGTGATTGGCACTGGCTAAGGACAAAAATGTTGTAAGTGTTAGAACGGAGTTTGTCATGGGTGTAACTTAGTGGTCACGACTGTGATCATTGCTGCCCATAAGCCAAAAACATTTGTAATTGTAAAATAGAGTCTGTCACGGGTGTGATGAAACTATCACAGTTGTGATCGCCTTGGGATCCCCCTATATTAATTGAATTAGCTTTTATGATCTTCCTGAAGGTTATAGATTTGGATGCTAACTTTCCAATCACTTTATAATCACCTAAAAAATAGGTCTATAACTCAAGTTATGACCATTTTAGTGAACAAAGGTCAAGATGTCAACATTAATAAATAGGGGTGTAAGCAGGTACAAGTAACTCGCAAACCTGAACTGACCCAAACCAACCCAATGAGTTCGAATATGATTTTTTCAATGTTCGAGTCAAATTCAACCCAACTCAATCAAAACTTGTTACTGTATGGGTCGGATAACGAGTTTTGTGTTTTCAACTTGTTAGCAACCCAATCATATATAATAATAATAATAATAATAATAATAATAATAATAATAATAATAATAATAATAACAACAACAATAATAATAATAATGTTTAAATGATCATTTGCTTAGGACAATACTTACTATCACTCTTACTTAGTAACGAGTTTTGTGTTTTAGGTTGATAACATTGTAACAATATAATATATTATTTTAAATTTTATTTTGTATTAATTAATGTTAATTTATCTTGAGTTGATAATAATGTAACAAACTAATAAATTTATTTCAGAATTTAATTTGTACCATTGTTTGCTTTATAGGCGGATAACATTTAATTTGCAACAAGGTATCAAATGATTTACATCTATTTTAAAATATTTAAATTTTTATAAAAATAAATAAATATAATTATGTTGACTCGGTTAACCCAAACCAACCTAACTCGTTTGTGATTTGGTTGGGTTGGATTGGGACTTAAAATAAAATTACACAAATTTGACCCAACGTAACCCATTAAATTTTAATTGGGTCGCGTAACGAGTTTATCCAAACCTGGCCCAACCCAACCCGTTTATACCTCTTTTAGTAAAAAATATTGAGGTTTTTATA